CTGAGATATACTATAGTTGTCACCCAGTTCACTGCAATATATTTTTTTATTGTTTGAGGGGTTAAAGAACTTTATTAAATCTTGTAAGAACCTGTTGAACTTGGCTCTATAAAGAGGATGTAGTGCAGGAAGTTTTATTTTAAACATCTCTGACTAACAAAAAAAAAAATTGTATTCATGTTATATCTACTAATCATTTATGTGGTTATAAATTTTCATAACTAAATTATTTGTAAAATACAACCAAATAGTTTAGTTTGTTTTGCACAAAAAAATGATGATAAAATGTTGTTATGAATGCTCATGGATTTAAGGGCAAATTATTGGTATGGTATTTTGTATTTGAATAGTGTAGGTAAATTTAATTTTGCACTTCTGAAACACCTCCAGAATTGTGATTGCATCTTCTAAAATTTGACTTTTCTTAATTAAGTTTACAGGTTTGCTACATCCTAGTTTGCACTGTAAATATATTTTCCTTAATTATTTTATGTATAGTTGTCATTAATCCAATTATGTAATGTTGATATTTTAATTATGCTAATTATTATGAATCAGGGCTACTTTTTCTTTTGTGATGTTATTTACAACAAACTATTATTTGAAATTTTGGTCCTTTAAACCCCTCATCAAAAATACTTTCGCATCTGTACAATATTATTCAGAAACATTATAAGCATTTCTTAGGCAAGTAGTTTGTTTTGTTTTCAATACTAGACACTGAGTGACAGCACTGATATGTTACTCCATTTCCTTATAATTAACCCTACTGTTTGTAGTGGGAATTACATGTTGCCACAAAAGAAAAATATGCAAATATATTTAATGGTTATTCTAGTACTCATCTAGAATGGTATGTTTACAGTTTACTGTTTCTCAATTGAATTTTGCAAGTGACACTTGTTAAATGTTTTCGTTTTTAGCTAGGTGTACAATAATGCCAAATGGTTTGGTAAAATTTTTGTTTATGAGGTACCGTAAATTGATGGCACTTGAAAAACTCACCCCTTAGGGATGTGAAGGTGTGCAAACTTCTATTTGAGCATTGGAAATGAAGCACTGGTGGTAAAAACAAAAAGTAAAGCAAGAATAGCTTGATACAATTTGTATGAATATACTTTTTTTTAACTTTTGACTACTGAATGTGGTTTTAGGTGATATACCTTTTTGCCAGACAGTTTTCTCAGTTCAGAAGCCACTACTTTTTCATAAACAAATTGTTTAATAGTAAAGGCATGAATAGGAACTTTGTTATAGTTATATTATTTAATAGCTTATGTTATTCAGCAACTTGTATTGTAATTTTAGGGGTGTGGATGAAAAGCACAATTTTGGACATTTAGATCATCGTCGTGAAAGAGGAAAAAATTTTCAAAGAAGAAGTAGTTCTTATTCAAGGGAATTAGAGCAAAGACAGAAAACTGTTCGTAGTTTCAGTGGAGATCGGCGTGAGATTGAATCTCATGGTACACGAGATATTGATGAACGACATGATGTTTCAGCTTACCATCAGAAAGACATGTTAGTATAGTAAACAGTAAAATAAAGTTAATAAATATATGTCTGTGCAAGTTTCAGAAAGTTATTAAAATACATTTTGATTAATATTAACAGTAAAATATTTTATAGTTCATTATTGGGCCTACAGAAGTTTATATTGAAGATGTCTTAGTGAGTCTAATTCAACAATATTTAATGTTAGGCTTATCATAGTTACCTTAATGTTTTCAGTGTACGTTATAATGTTGTATGGCATGAAAGATGTATATGAATACATGTTTCAAAGTGCAATGAGATAAAAGTAATCCTGGAGGAAAAAAAAAATGCAATTTATGAATTAATGTAGTATGATAATAGTGTATTTACACTTGCATATTCTAGTAAAATTAAAATATATGTGAACTGACATAGCACACAAATATTTTTATACATGTTGTTAAATTTTAATAGATATAAAGAAAAGTTTCTCGTGGTTTATTTTAATTTCAGAATTATATTGAAAGCAACATATCAGTGAGTCTTCAACAATTTGTTTGTACATAGTACTTAAGGTTGGATAAGATAAGCTCGGGATGAGACTTGTTTTTACAAAACTAAATTGCCTTCTATAGTTTTATTCATAAGGCTAGTATTGTAATGTATTGCTAATCTTTTACTTTTGTTTACTCCCCCTCATTATTATTATGCCTTGACATGACTTCTGTTGAATTGGATAATCTTTCTCCATCAGTGTGCTCTCTTTATTTCTTGATTGTGGATCAAGTATATTTTTCTGATATATAAGGGCTAGTTCCCAAGTTTGGACTGAATAGGAGAGTTATCCTTTGGACCATTACTTGTTCTTTGAAGAAGTAATAAAAATATTGAATGAGTTTGTTTTTCCTAAACACCCTTGAACATTGTTTCTCCTATTGTACTTATCCATTTTGTTTCTCAATTAACTTTTTCTGTGCTGATGATCATCTTTCAGTTGTAGAGTATACCTGCATATTAAATTTCAAGATTTAAGTAACAGTAATCATTATAAATTTGTTTCAACAATTTTTTTACTTGGAAATATTTTAAAATTAATAATTTGTCATTTATAACAGTTATTTGATGTTACTCAAAATTATTTAGCTGAACAGCTTCAAATAGTCTATCTGTAAATAACACTTTTACAATTTTTATAATTGTTCTGCTCATCCCAAAGCATTGATTTGTGCTTGATAAGAAACTGTCATTCCTTGAGAATATAATTATCAGTGTTTTGTTTCTGACATGATTTTCCTATTCTTTCTCTAAGATTTATTAGGACAACCTCTTATTTCTCATCCTTTTGTGATCTCACAGCAGTTGATTGAACAACTACTTATGAAACAGCTTTCAAGATAGCTTTAGACAAAAGTTTAAATACCAATGACTAGAAGAGATTACAAACTATTTACATCAGTGTGGTGTGACTAAAGTGGTTTGAGAATTAATTTATGGTTTAGTGGGAAAATTGACAAAAACTAGCTCATGCAGAGAAGAACAGTGAAATGTAGTGGGAAATTCTGAAGACTGAAGAACAAACCACAGCTAAGATCTGGGAAAATATTTACAGTTTCTTAAGACATTCTTTTCATTCCTGAGCATATTTGTATGTTAAATTTTATTTTTCTGGTAGCTACAGAAATAGTTTTCTGTGACATTAGGTGAGTCTTATTAAGTTTAGAGAATATGGCAGGTGATGGCAACATAAATTGAGCAACTCCTTATTTATTGAATATTATCATTAAATGTCACTTATTAAAAGAATGTAAAAAAACTAAAAGTACTTATAATAATTTATTGAAAAGAAGATGAATATATATTAAATATAAACTGATTTTGACCAAGAATATTTTTAGCAAAAATATTGCTGCCTAGTCTGAACTATCATCATTTTGAATGGTCAGGTCCTAGGTCTCCAATAAATACATCAATTTCTACTGTGTTTTTTTTATGTTTTATAGCTCTGAGTGGCAGCTTCTGCATTTGGCAAAGTTTCTCTGTTAGAATGTCTGATTGAAGTTGTATTATGTCAAAATATTTAGTCCATTTTTCCATTTCAATGAATTATTGCAGCATTTAGTTTTCTCACATTTTTTACTCGCTGTGTTTTTGTTTAATGTTCTGCCTCTTGTTAGGTTCTGATATTGTGTGATATATATCTGATTGGTTGTGAAGTTACAAGTCAAAAACTCATAATTAAATAAATGAGGATTGAATTTATATTTAATGTTCTATATTGTACTCTTCCATTTTCTAGAGAATTAGTTGATGTGATTCAGATGTGGTATGACCAACGTACATTCTATAGCATGACAGTTATGATTTTTACTGGTTTAGTAGTTGAAACAAAACAAAAATTCATAATATTTTTAAACTCAATACCTTACTAGCAAAAGCCTGAAAGATTAAGCCTATGACTATTAGATTATTACTAATCTTTTTTTTTCTTCACAAGATAAGAAAATCACCTTCAGCTCTTGGTTATTAGCTTTCAAATGAGATTGGTTTGTTACTGTAAATTCATTCCAGTTGCCAGTGAATAAGTCCTTCTTTTACCGTCTTTTTAAGTATATATATTAACTAAAAATTATTTGTAAGTTTTTTTGTGGATTAGACAACAGTTATTAATCATATCTGGTATAGGTAAAAGTAGTTTTAAAATGTAAATTACAACATTTCTTTTAATTGATTTTAGAATAATTTAAATATATATCAATCCAAATGAGGCATATTTTTTTACTAATTTCAAATTATTATTATGTATGTATGTATATTTGATAAATATTTTGTTTGGATTTATTTACAAGATTGCTTGTAAATGCCAAAAATAGTTTAAGATGTGTAATACAATTTGTAGGCAACACTTCAAAGTGTTTTAACATACAAACTTTGTATTAAGTGAAAGAAACTTTATATTTAGGAAACAGTATTTCCATTTGATTTGAACGAAGACTACTTTGTGATTTAAAGTATACATCTTCTTTTGCAAATATAAGATTTGTTTACTTGGAAATGTTGTATAGGGAACTCTGTGTTCTACCACTGAATGATTGTTATTTTTGTTTGTACAAGTGTTTTTAAATTATAAGTTTACCTGTGTGTTTTAATAAGTATTTAAATTTACATGCTGTTAACATTAAGTCTGATCTTTATTGTTTTTTTTCCAGATACTCTTCAGGGACAACTAGTCAACGCAAAGGGTTTGATACAAATCAAGGATATGGAAGAATTGACTCAGCAGTTGGAATTTACTCTAGAGAAAGTGGTGGTATGGATAGCAGGGGTTACCATTCAACTGAGCAGAGGTCCTCCAACACTACATTAAGTGAAAGATTCCGTTCCATAAATAATGAAACAAGTAGAAACTTGGAACCAAGAATGGTTTACACACAAGAAGATTTAGAGAAGATTACTGTTGGAATACACAGAAATGTCAGAGAACCTTCTCCAACTGTTCGCTGTATTGTAAATCCAGATGAAGTGAGATTTGCACGTCGACCTGAAGAAGGATCTCGGCCAATTTTTGACCGTGAAGAAATCAAATTGGCTGCAGTGGATTTGCGAGATGATGCTTATTTTGAGAGAAGAGTTGTAGCTGTTGTAAAATCTGAAGAAAAACATGCATCTTCACCAAAGAAGGAGAGACTTCCTTCTAAAGGAAACATTTATGAAAAGTCTAGACCAAACTACCAAACCTATCGATATGGTAATAATGGAAATAGTGTGCCTATGCACAATGAAAGATGGCAAGATCATTCTGTGAGGAGGGGAGATTCATCATTTAATGTGGATCGGGTATGTTGATGGCAGTAAGATTTCAGTTGACAAATTAAACATTTTGTGATTCAGGTTACTTGCTTTTATAATGTTAGATCTACTAAGACTTTTCCTTTTTTATCTTATTAATTTAGATCATAAGCATGATAATGCAGAAAACAGAAACATATATATGGCTTGAAATTTTTATTATTCAAAATTTACATACTTGAAAACATACCAAAACATTTTCTCATGTTTGTTTTGTACTTTTCAGTATTTGTATGGTATCTGTTACTACTTGCCATTTTTAATATAGTTTCCAGTAGAATAATTTCTGGGTCATGATCTTAATTCTGTCAACCAGGAAGTTGTAAATGTTCTGCTGTTTCAAGTTTCTAATCTTAATATGTTAATTTTTCTTTTCTTCAAAAAGAATAAGTAATTTATGTATTTTTCTCTATTTTTTATTTTGACTCAAGTTTTTATATTCAAACAGATTTAACCATCTCACAATATTAAATATAAGGAAATGGATATACACCACATTGGAATATTATCTTTTATTAAAACCTTTAATATTCCAATATGGCGTGTATCTGCTTTTTTTATGTTTAATATTGTGTATCAAAACATATGATAAGTAGACACTTCAAAACATATTTGACCATCTATTATATTTAAATCGTCATAGATATTTAGTTTAATTTTTATTTCACCAAAATATTATTGCTTTGTAATTGTATCCTGCCTTGTAAAGCCATAATTTTAACGTAATTGGTGTATTGTAGTAAATTTAATTTCCTAGTCATAGTTTTTTGCTTTTGTGCTTGTTCAACACTGGTATCAAATATCTATGGAATAACATCATTATTTCGTATGTTTTATTGAAATGCTGAATTAAATATCAAGATTGAGAATAAAAATACATAGTACTACATTCGTGGTAATGCACCAGACATTGGCTTTTGTAAGCTTTCTCTTTCCAGTTCATAGTATTTTTGATGAGGCTAAATTTTATCATTTATTAAAATAATTATTATTTACAAACATAAGACCACTTTTTGTTTTTCATACATTTGAACTGAGAAACTATACAAATTTTTATTCTTTGATTTTTAAGTATTGATGATTATATGCTATATTCAGGCATTATATATACCATCAGATGTTAGGTTTTCATGCTATTTACAGGGTGGTATTATTATTTGTTTCCTTCATGGCATAGAAAATGATACATCTACACCAGAATTTAGGTCTGTCAACAGTATTGTTTATACTACTGTTTGTACAATTTTTATATAATGTTAAGAGCAATAAGTAGTTTCACAGTCCAATTAAACTCATCCTGAAACAAAAGATATGTTAAAGATGTGTTTGTGTACCATTCTAGTAATCCTTCTCTCAACCCTTTCCAACAATTCAATGTCTTTCCTAAGGTAAGGAGCCCAAGACTGAACACACTGTTCCAAATGTGGCCTAACCAGTGACTGTACAATGAAAGTATAACCTCTTTAGACTTGTATTCAATATATTGATAGATTCAACCTAAAATCCTATTTGCCCTACCACTAGCAACAGCACACTGCTTGTATGGCTTTAGAGACTGATCGACTATTACACCAAGATCTCTTTCCTTCATAACACTTAAGGTTATTCCCATCCAAATTCTACTTTTAATTCAAATTATGATAACTCGCATGCATTAAAATCCAT